GATTGGAGTGCACTAATCAAGTAAAACGATAGCTCAAATCTTCCAAATTGATGGAGGACAGGAGTATTACCCGAAAATAGTCAAGACGAGAAAATAAGACAGTGCAGTTCACGTTATCAGCCTCTTCCAGCAAATTAACAATCTGCAAAGAAATAAGAATATATTTAAAACAAACATACCTTTAAATCCCGAAAACCATGATTGTTTGTTTTTAAAAACAGAGGTCCAAAGAAGTCACTCCACCTCTGGGTAAAATTCTTTCCTCTCTGGAAGGGAATAGATAATTAAATTCTGAACACCACGGATCTGAACACAAGGCCAAAGAATCAGAAATTCTCTTTTTTTGTGTACATATTTACATGTAGAAACATGTACACGTGTTTGTAAAGAGTAATAACCAAAATAAATACACATTGCAGCACACCTTCAATACTTGTCCCAAGAAACCAAAATCACAAAAAGAATGGAAGGAATACCACCTTAAGAGCACTTTTATGACTGCTTTTCATTGAAGAGCACATACAAAAATAACATTGAACTAGCTGCTGAGTAGTAAATACTGTGTTCAATATCAGAGGAGAATTGAATTTCACCACCTAAGACATTAGGTCTATTTTTCTTCTAAACTAGGTATTCGACCTTTGATAGAATGGGAAAATAATGTGTGTAAAAATTACCACATGCTAGTTCACAGGCATGCTGCATCATAAGCAAGAGCATCCATGTCAATGTTCAATATCAGTATGATTTCTAACTGTGAAAAGTGCACTGACATGCACATTATTAGTCTTCCTGGGTTGAAAAAATAAATAATCACATGACAAAACTAAGATGCTAAAGTAACAAATCATGGAATGAGACATTCAAAAGCACACAAAGCCAAGTTTGACCTATGAACTTAATGGCACTTGGTTTTGTCACCCTGGTAAATTTGTGCAAGGGCTAAGAATAAAATTCTGACTTGTAAAAAGGACGTTCACACAAATCAAGGTCTAACTTTGGTCCAGAAACAGCCAAATAGTGCCATTGATAAACTTCTATTCTCACATGTACCAAACAACTTGATCTTATACGTACTCTCACTTTTCAATCCATATTCTAGGATCTGAATTTCTTGATAACCATAGGATCTCACTGTAATACTATAATCTGAATTTCAATCCATATTCTAGGATCTGCTCTTGAAAAGAGAAACACCACCAAAGTCCTTTTAGTTCGTCCATTCAACTGCATTTAGTTCACTATATTAACACAATGTATCAGCAATGAATTTTTAGTGATGCTTTTGCATACTTGCAGAGGATTGTTATATACAATGAATTTTGTAGTGAGTTCAACAATTAAAAGAAAATCGCAACATAAGGTTCACCAACAACAATAATATAAATGAGGATTGCTAATTATTTACAGGGGCGAAAAAAGGATGGTGAAAGTACTGACATATGGCAGAAAACAAGAATACAAAGAAGATAGGAAAAAGAGAACCTTGTATCTGTAATAGAAGTGAGCTCTCTCTGTATAAAGCATGATTTTCTTTTCTCCCCTAAAAAACTGGCCTCGTACACTGGATATATCCTTCTGCTTAATGTACCTATATATCAAATAATAAATGAATTGAGTGAAAACACTTGAAACCATATAAATAGTTACTACCACCTCTTACATATCATCGTTCAGATTAAAGAAGACATTATTTAATTTACTAGAAGCTAAAAAGGAAATCAGAAAAAAAAAATGAAAAAAAAATATTTCTTACTCTCCAAACAAGCAGAAGGATGCACCCTGTGACTTCAAAAAATTTCGAAGTCGAACGAACTCAAAGTACGAACTAATGAATATCATAACCCCAGGCTGCATAGGATGACATGGAAGTTCAACATTAGTCTACCTTATAATAAAAGAATTCAACAATTTACTTATAAAGCGTTGTATTACCTGAACAGAATCTTTTATCTTGGGAAACACCTGCACAAACAAAATTTCAGTCTACTGTGTTTGAACACAATCCACGAAAAGTATGAATGTATGCATGCGGATAGATAGATATTGATAGATATACATCCCAAGCTCACATTGCAGTCTAATTCAACAAAATCTAAGCCTATATTTATCATGTGTCAACTAAATAGATCCTCTCTTCCAAATTCCAAGAAAAAAGGGATCATCTTCTTCACCATTGTTAATCAAGGTCTATTTTCACGTCACTATCTCACACGACCACCCTCCTCGACTTGGAACCACCTATGTTACAATATAAAGCTGCCAACACGACACTGGTGAAGTTATACCCTGACCAGACCCCACAAAAAATTGAGTGTAAACCATAAATCAAATGAAATTGCATGACTGGTCACCAACTTAAATAAATTTACCTTCATTACTAAATTTGAGATATTCAAATAATTTTAATGTCTATACTATACTAAATATTGTTTATGAAGCGTGAATAAACTTGCACCAGATTGCATAGGGGTTGGGTTGTTTGAGTGGATAAAACAATTTCTATTAACATATTCACCATCGAAGTCCAGTGTTCTATCTCAATTTACAATTCATTATCAACAGCACATTAACGAACTGTTCACAAATTTAATCTTCACCATTCAAGTAATCCTTGGAGCCATTTCTCTACGAAGTAGCTACCTCTCACCTATCCACAACACACTGGACACATCGAGAGAGAGAGAGATAGAGAGAGCCTGCACGAGGTTAAGATTCATTCTAACTCTATCCAGAATTTTTATACTCGCAATAACAGTTATCATGCTTATTGCCCCAACACCACTTCTGTAGCCAATCTTCAGTTTTTAAAGAATGGGCTCATAACTTTCACATTATCTACACTTGATCACCATAGTACTCTGGTGGATTTTACAACTTGCATGCTCTACGACACTATTTCATTACGATATTTACAGAACCTTCAGAAGGATACTAGTAGAATTTTTTAGTCGTGACCTGAAATATTTCTACCAAAAACTGATAAGGAAGCAACAAAATTCTCTCGTGTCTCCATGTAGGCTCTATTGGTTTTATTTTTTCAATATCATCCCGATATTCATTTTGGTAATTATTACCCGGCATTTTAAATTTATCTGCCTCTTTCGCCTTTGGATCTGCTCTATTACTTGATGAAACTCAGACAATACAACATAAGAAAGCCAAGCCAATAGGAACTCCTAACAAACTTGGCTTCAACATGGACAACATAATGGTTGAGATTCAATCATTAAACCATATATATAAAATTAAAACAAGGTAAATATAAGAAGAAACCTTTTTGGCAAAATATTCAAGACGATTGTCATCAGCCTCCACTATTGACTTTGTATCAAAACGCTCATAAATCTGTAACAATTGAAAGAAAAATAACATAAACATGAGCAAACTTAAATAATTTTACCTCCCAGCAAGACAATTAAAATATGATCCAATATTCAACACATTAAATAGCAAAATAACTAAGCATAAAGCCTCTATATTTTGGGATCATGTAGACACAATAAGGCTTCATTAAATTCAAGTTAAGCAGGTAGTGTGTCGTTATTAGTGTGGTTGTGACTTATATTTGTCACAGAAATAACCTAGAGTAACTTGTATGATTTTCAAGAATGACTTCATTCCATGCCTCAAAATTATTTCCAAAACCTAAATTTTATTTGTGAAAAATTACACCATGGAACTAACATGCTTGAGTTCTGATAATTAAATAATTTGTTGTTAGTATCCATGATGCCCTTGCAATTAGATAGGCGAAAGGTAAAAAAGGAGTTTGGCCAGCAGCCTGATTGACAAGGGCCCATTTATGAAACTTTAATACTAAGATATCAAAACAATGATAACAACAAGATTAGAAAGAATAAAAATGTAAATATAAGTATGATAATGTTAATCATTGGATAGAAAGTATTCAACTAAGATCTGTCTTTTTAAAATGTTATAAATTAACATATTGAATTCTCTTTTTGTATTGTTAAGACAAGAAAATAACGTTGAAAGTAGGCAATGAATACAATTATTTTCTCTAATTAATAAGCTTAAGAAGTCATACTCATGACCACAATCCTAGTTATTGCAATGCTTTATTAGGATAAGGATTATATGAATGGACACACCTGCCGTACTTGAAGCAAAATTTTCGGAAGAACGCCTCTATAACTGCATTCCAACTTTACCTGCAAATACAAATCTTTACACAAGTACCTTCTGTGGTCCAACAAACGACAGAAAAATAACCAATGTCCGAAAGGGAAAACATCTTGGTAACTGCACTATGAAAAATCTCAGTAACCATATATTTTGGCAAAATAGTTTCCTGCTTTTATGTATCTCTGCAGGACCTTATTACACAAGCACGCCAGAGGTGGGAATGGAAAAGCTTAAATATTGTATGTACCTAGTGTCTAAAGAAATAATTTAAAGAGAGAAAAACCATGCAGTTTGAGTGATAATTTTTTGAACACAGAGGCAACCGAATCAGTCAAATCTGAGTACATAGTCATAAAATATATAGTACAGACATTTCAATTAGGGTAGCGTATCGGACACGAGTTGATACCGACACTTCTCGGATACTCTAGCGTAATCATTTTTCTTTTTATATTAAAAATATTATATACTGTTAATTCAAAATTATTTGCAAGTAACAAATATATACTCATGTTTATAAGATTTCAACAAAAAATATTAATAACAAGTATAAAACTAATTTATACTATATAAATGAAGGATTTTTAAGAATTTAATCAACGTGTCGTGTTTGTACTTTTTTAAAAAATCATGTTTCAGCGTATCCGACACGTATCTGTGTCGGTGCATCATAGGTCATAAAATACAACATGAAGAAAATGACAAACCTTTCCTTGGTAATTAAAGCATTGTTGGTTGAACAATGTATTGATATCTGCAAAAATAAAGAAAGGGATTGTCGGTGGCAATGCAAAAGAGAAATTGAAAAGGATAAACTTGGACAATATAGCTATATTTGCAACTAAGCAAGTTGGCATGGTAGATCGAGGAAAATAATAAACAAGAGAGAGAGAGAGAGAGGGAGAGAGAGATGCGAGATTATAGATTATGAGCTACACTCATTGGCAACTAAACTAAGTGATAGCTCAACGTTCTTGTTAGGCTAGTTATGTTATCATACATGATCCATTATTGCACCAAAACCACCACCAAATATTGAAAACAATGTTGTGAATTCCATTACCTGGGTTCACATGAGAACCTAATATTATTGTTTGCCGATAGAAACGTGCATGTCCATCTAGATACCTAAGGATTAAAATAATTGAAGGCAACAGGAAAAATATGATATCAAGAGGTCACCCAAGGAACAAAAAATCAATTACAGAGACCAAAAAAATAACTAAGTATACCACGGCCTTATGCGCATAATGTCAGTTCCATGCTGCTTAGACGGTATTTGGTTCAAATGTTCAACAACAGTCTTCACATGGGACCAATTCTACACAAATATTACAGGAAAGAAATGATAACAATGTCAGTGTCAATGTGATTCAATGAAATAAACAGATCATTAAGACTTCAAAAGCATTAATAATACTCACCTGCATTATCATGACATCCGCGTGGTCAATGATTAAGATCTGTGACAAACAAACTCTTTAAATTAATTGACACAAGATACACACTTGCACTACTAAGAATGAAATGATAAAAGTCATGCGAATTTGGAATTAATAAATTATGCTCACCTCTATAGAAGAAAGATAATCAACATCTTTTTCCTTTTCAACTTCAGCCTCCCCAATTTTCTGATACACAATAATTGAACAAGCAGAAGTCAGAACACATTTAAGTTAACATGCATGAGGAGAGAAACAAACCTATTCTTCTCAACGGCGAAGAAGTTCAATAATCCATTGAAGATGTTCTCAAGTTTCATCCCAAAGATAATTATGGCACTTTAAAAACATTCATATCTTCAACATCCTAACTAATATTTCTAAGAAAGACGATGTGGATAGAAAAAGAAACAGAGGGTCATGAGAACTGGAGTGAGATCATCACTGGAATACGTAGAAATTGTTTGTGGACAACTGAACCAGAAAAGGGGGAAGAGAGGGGAAGCGCATAATCAAGGTAAAACACCTAAAAGCTACACAGCACCCTTATTTTATAATTGGCACATTTTTTTACTTTGCTGCATCCCTCCACACTTACCAATAGATTCATACTTAGTTAAAGAGATCAAAACAAGCGCAAAAAATTTATAATGGATAGTTCATAACAGGATAAAGACTTACAGTGATCAAACCAAGGGGAGAAGCAACGATTATATCTGAACTATAGAAATCGCTATATAACCTCGTACTCCTAGAAAAAATGGAAACAAATGTAGACTCAGATTAGAAAGTAGGACACAGGCAAAATAGTAATACAAGATATAACTCTCTGATTTAGAAGAATGTCTATAATTCTTTCCATAAATCTCACATCCAACCTCGACTTCAAAAATATTAACTAAACAATGCGCAATAGAAAAACAATATGTTTGAAGAACACATATTTTTCCACATGTGAAAAAATTATAGACCGAGAATATTGCTAAATATGAACCAACGGAAAAGAAGTTTTATGATAAAGAATTTCAGCTTTCACACATCAGACAACATCCAAGAAAAAAATTCCAGATGGATTAAAGTAAATGCCTAGAATCTTACTTCTTGGTAAACTTTATGCCTATCATGAAGTGATCATTGTTATTATCTCGACTGAGCAATGCTTGAAAGTCAGAAGGTTTTGTGGACTTTTTAGACTTAGATTTTTCTGAGTCATCCTCTTCATACTGGTCTTCAGCGCTTCCAGAACCATACTCCTCATTAAACCGTCCAATGTTTTCCACATTAGCCTAACAAAAAACACAAAATAAATTATCTCTGAAATCTATAGTACGTTCTCAACCACTTTAAAAGTCGCAGAATGTGTCTCAAAAACCAGTTATCTCGACAAGAAAGCCAGATAATCACCAAGCATGAGACATGGAGGATAACCGATAGAATTGATAAACTCGGCATGCAAAGACTCAATGTCTTGCATTCCCAAACTTCAAGTTCTTGTTTTGTTTTTAAAAAGAACTAGTTTTAATAAATTCCCTATAGTAATTCGTCTTTCACCAGATCCACAATTGTTCTTAATAGTTTGTGTAAAACCATAAATCCTATTATATTCATTGAGATCT